TAGAAGTCTTACTGCAGTCAAAAATAGGGAGATTTATATAAAGTGAAATCTTGTCATTAATATAAAACATGGAAACATTCCATGATTTTAAAGATTATTTAGCAATTCTTCAAAAATGTCATCTTCCTTTGAGATATTAAATACTTATATTTTTATCTTGCCCCATAAGAAATGAGCAACATTAAAGCTTAAAGCAATTTGATGAGGTAAGCTACTAAATCATCCAGTGAGACAGAACTGAGCAAGGATTGGCATCCAAATTTTCCAGATATTCTAGATACTGAATTTACAGATTGCAATTTGATTGACGCTATCCTGAGAGTTGCAGCACTGAACCAATTGATACTTCCTTTTGAGTGGTGTAGAAATATACAGGATTGAATCAATCCATGAAATATCCTGCAAATCTATAATTAAAGTAATGGTGATAATGGTAAAAAGCAAGAAGGTAGGATGTATTGAAATTTTAGCAGGAAGCTAAACAAGCAACAGGACTTTTATATGCACAATGATGGGAAGATTTGATATTACCCACAATGAATGAGTGGATGGTGAAGGTGACAGAGCTTGCTGAAATGGCTAAATTGATTAGAAAAAATATTAATTTTAATGCCAACTGGAAAGCCCTTTTCCACTATTGGAGTGAAATTGGAAAAAATGAAATTACGATATACGATGATTAGGGGAAAAAAAGTGCTGTAGATGATAGGAAAAAAATGAAAGTTATGTTGTAACCTTAGTGTAAGAGATAAATTTACATTTGGGATTATAAATGTTTCATAAGAGATTGAAGTAATTTTGTAATCCTTTCTTCCTTCTGTTGAAAAAAATATCCTTCTGGGTTCAGTTCCAAGCGGGGAAAAAGACACTGGAAATATGGGGGCTATTTGGAAAGATGGTTTAATGGTGGACAGGATCACATGCCTTGGAGCTTCTGAGCGAAAAAGGGTAGAGATGCTGAGAGTCCCTGGGTTTTATGCCCTCTGTTGAGATTTGAATTTGAGCTTGTATTCTGATTGGTTGTCAGACTCCCATGGGGCTGTGCAGGGGCAACTCTGTAGGCTGTCCTGAATCCCAGACTTGGTTGAGCCTTGCTGGATGATGATGTAATGAAAGGGCTTCAGGATTCCTATTATGGACCTGCCTGAAGGAGGTAGACCTTTGTTTTATGTAGAGCAGACTGGCCCAGGCCTTAATGACCCATTAGCAAAGGTGGGGGGTGGTGTGAGTTTCTGCCTCTCTGTGTTTCTACTTCTCTTTTAGGCGAAATATTCTGTCTTTTTAGTATATCCTAAAATAATTCATATTCCTAGGAAAGGGGTGGGTTTTAACTTCCAACACTTCCTTCCTTCCTTCCTTCCTTCCTTCCTTCCTTCCTTCCCTCCCTCCCTTTTCTTCAGTTTGATTTTTAGTATCTGTTAAAGATTTAATAAATTTACTATATAAAAAGACATTTTAACAGGCAGGAAAGTATGGATGATACTAGTATATAAGAAAACATTTCATAGATGAGAAGGCAACTATGAAAAGGTATGATTGATCCAAACAAGGTCACAAAAATACATTTTATTTATTCATCACCTTTATATACAGTTGCTGATTATTTCACATGTATGATTCTGAGCTGCATACAGTAAAAATTTACTGTAGAAGAAACTGAACAGATGCCATCAAGATGAAAGGCTCCTGTGAAGCCATATGTTTCTACTTAAATATTAAGAAATGATTTCTTAATATTAAGGAATGAAAAGTATCTGAGTTGGATTCTTATGCCAATTGTCTGGCTGTTTATTTACAATGAATTAGTGAATTTGTTACTGAAATATGATGAAGGGAAAAAGTGCTATAAACCACAGGAAATCCTTAGTTTAAATTAGTGGCAATTTTCAAAATTTGACATAGTGTGGGATTCCTTGTCTAGTTTGGAAATAAACAATCACTAGCCAAAACTTCCAAGAGAAAACAATAGTTATTTTATTCTTCACTTTGCAAAGTGGGTGTACCACACACACACACACACACAGAGGCACAGTGGACACACCCTAAATCATCAATACATTTGCCTTACATTCTCTAGTAGTACCCTCACAAATTTACCTCCCACCTCTTCTTCATTGGCTTAGTAAAAATGTCACAACCTATCCAAAGTGTCTAAAATGAATACATTATCTCTGCCCCTGATTACATCTCCCACTACTCTAGTTCTATCTCCCTCTGCCCTTATTTATAAATTTCCTTTTATGATCCGAGATCCTAGGGGTTGTCTCTAGAGTAACTATCATTATCAGTAAATTCTGGTTATGGCCTGTTTCTAGCATAGCAAAGGTCTCTAATCCTACCTCCTACACACAATTCTTAGGCTTCAGCCTAGCTCATGAGATTAGAAACATATACAATGTATTTTCTTCACAGGCGAACATATCTTCTTACAATTCTGTAAAAACAATACAACTCTGTTTCCCACAAGAGGTAGCTGTGAATTTTCAAGTACAGCTCCGCAGCTATAATTACTCTTGATTGCAAATCAATGCATTCAGCTCTTTCATGAACCTGCTCTGCCAGTATGCATGAACAGTTTAACTTCTTTATGCCATTCCATATACTGCTTTGAGAATAAGGATCCTTGATTTTGCTTCATATAAACCATTGTGACAATTGCTATCTCAGTCTTTCCAGCCACCATAGCGATTACTGAGAATACTGAGAATTGAAGTTCACACATTTGGAGGATACCTAGATTAGGAAGTCTGCCTTAACCACTATACCAACTGTGTTCAGAATTGGCTCATAGATTAGGAAGTCTGCCTTAACCACTATACCAACTGTGTTCAGAATTGGCTCATAACATGGTGATGTCCCAAGCAGCTGGCATTCTCAAGAATCTGGAATGTTCCAGATAATAAGATGGAATCCTTGGATCTTATATTGCTACACTATTAGTTATTGCTGCTTTACTAATGGCGTGAGTTCTTTGAGCAATAGAATTCAGCCCTGAATGCCCTTTTACCTCATTTTTATTTTGAATGTTATACAGCAACAGGAATTTATTTGTACTGCTTTAAAAAAAACACTTTGCAGTAGAAAGCTATTGAAGAGGATCCTCTTTTTTTTAGAACCCCTGATGTAATTAAAAATGACTAATTATACTGGTTATTATCTGAACAGTCTTGTGACCAAGGAAAAGATTTTGGGATTTTAATGAGGATGATGTCAACTCTCTGAAAAAAAAAAAGTCATGTCGGGGATCATTCCAAAAGGAACAAACAATTCTGATGTTTGTCTCCATCTCCACTTCGAGCACCCTGGAAGTTACTGTGAGAAACAAAATATACCAAGAAGAAAGTTGTTATGAACCACCATACCTTTCATTATACTGTATATTTAGCACTCAACCTTAATAAGATCAGAGCCTATGCCTTTAAGAGAGATGAGGTTCATATTTGGTCTTCCAAATATGGCTGATCTAAAACTCCCAACAGCATTGTTCAGTATGGCCAATGATGAGGGACATTGCAATTGTAATTCAACACCTGGCTATCCGGTGGCTCTTTCTCCATCAATAATGCAAATTATTAGGGCGATCAACTGACACAAGAGGACTTGTGTTGTCTATATTACTATATGAAAAGGAGCATTATTTTTTGCTTTTCCTATCATCACACATGCAATCATAAGATAGGCTTGAAGTTTTTGATTATAGGAAGATATTTTTTTCTAAAGGCCTTGGCTAATTCTTAAAAGCTGTCTTCTCTGTTGCTTGTCACTGAAGATGAGGGCTATAATTTCAGTGACATGTTCTGCTTCAGAGAACTGTGTTTAGATTTTTTTTTCAAAGAACACACTTTTGTTTTTTATTTTGATCATTTTAACCATACTTTCTTCTGAATATTTAATACTTTTAAGTATTCCACACATTATTCTTTTGAATACTTGCTTTATAGCTTTTTATATGTTTTTATTAGAATGGTTTTGTAAAGTTTTTCTTGGTTTTGCTCTTGAATTTTTCTTTGTAAAGTTATGAACATAATTACATGTTTTTATCCTTATTAACCTCTTTCAGACTTGCCCCTTTTTCAGGTTTCTCCTTTTCCTTCCAAGAAAATATCACCGTAATTATTACCCTCCTCGATAATGAGCTTCCCTGTTGTTTTAAACAGGAAGTGGTATAAATGACATGCCAGGCAGCAGTGTGAGATTTGGTACATCCCATTTATTAAATGTTTGAAGTTTTTCTGCGAGGGCCGTTTCAGGCAGAGTTACTCACACATCAGGAAGCAATTTCAGCTGCTATTGCCAATCCAGCTACTTTAGGTTTATGGAGTCCTTGGTGCTCTGTGAGGTTGGTTGTTTGCTGGGAGATTTTTCATTACTGATTAGTACTGATTGTGTTATCTAGTCGGGTAAGTAAACATAAGCAAGCAAGCAACCAATAGATTGGACTGCCATTTGTCAGAAATGGTGTAGGGTCTCCCGCTTGGGGGGGGGGGTTGGACTAGATGACCTACAAGGTCCCTTCCAACTCTTGATTATGTTAACTGTTAAGCTCGGAGAGCACAAAGGACTCCACAGTCCTACAGTCCTCGATAAGCTACACTATATTCCCTTCTATTGGTACTTTAGGCTTATTTACACCGGAGGGAGCAAGTCCTAATCACTTGACTAGGACACCGGTGCCGGTTTCTCCCATATATTTTAAAAAACATTCCAAACTTCACTAAGTGAAAGTGAACTTGAACCCACATCAGCCATTCCCCCCCCCCCGCCTTCTCCGCCCGCCCTCTCAAATCCCATAGCGACTTCCTTCAGCTCCCGCTCCGTTCCTAATCACGTGCCTCCCATTCACTACATTGCCCAGAGTGCACTGGGCCGAACGAGAGCCGCCCTTGTTTCCTCCACGTCGACTAGCGTGGCCGATAAGAGCGACCCTCGCGACCTGATTGGCTGGCGGCGTCTCTTGCGATGATGATTCCATAGGGCAAAGGGCAACGGAAAACTGAGAGGCGGAGTGGAGGCGGCCACCACGGCGGAGGGGGCGGGATTCCCGGAGGCGCCGGCGGCACCGTGGGGCCTCCCTCCCTGCCTCCCTCCAACTCCCCTCAGCATCGGGACACCGGAGCGAGAAGGCGTCTGGTAAGGCGGCAGCGGGAGACGAGCGATGCGGGGTTTGGGGTCCCCGAGGGCGGGCGATGGGCTCTAGTCATTAGGCCTGGGTCACCAAGGGTCCCCTCCGTCCCTTCGGGGGGCGCAGTCGTAGGCCTGTCGGCCCGGGCTCTCCTCCGCCGGCGTTGCTCTTCTCTTGGGCGGCTGCTGACCTTGGCGAGGAGCTTCTCCCGCCTGTGCCCGTCTCAGCAGCTGCGGCGATAATAAGGATTTCCTTCCCTTTTCGGGCAGCTCGAGAGACAGTTTAATTTTTAATTTTAGCTATTAATATGATCTTTTTTTAAAAAACAAAAAGTCTATACCGCCCCATATTTTAAACCAGCTGGAAGCCGTTTCGTTTCTTGATGCCCTCCGAGTCTTATATAGCCAAATCTTCGGCCACCTGCCTAGCCTTGACGTTCCCAACCTGAGCGGGGATTTGAGAAACGGCGAATTAAAAAAAGACAAAAGCGAACAAAAATGGAAGGTTTCCCTTTCAAATTAGTTTATTTCGTGTGAGTTTACTGTCAAGTGCGGTAGTATATACTGTATAATGCAATATTAATGCCATATCAGGAGTTTTCAGTTCAATGTATAGAATGTGAAAGATGTGTGTTTGTGTTTATTTTCATAGTCCTAATGTACACTGAAGATGGCATTTAATTTCGTTGTACGAGGTGCAATGACAGTAAAGTAAAGTAAACTAAAGTAGAGGAGAACTTGCCTTCCTTCCCCAAGAGGCTGTCAGGTTGGTTATGGGGTGGCAGGTTTGTGTCTCAGAGTCAGGTCTGTCCTTTGGAAGTTGTAATAATAAAAACGGTAGAACCAACAGTTATAATTTCTTTAGAGTAATAAGAGGTCATAATAGTCTTTTGGTAGGTTTACAGCAGCACTTAGGATTGGATATTAAACATAAAATGTAAAATAGTCTGTAGAGATTCTCAGTCATCCAGGTTACGGTTGTCCCAAAGGTGAAAGTGGACTTTCTTGTTGTTTTGAAGACGTTTGCTTCTCATCCAAGCTCCAAGCTGAAGAAGCTTCTTGGATGAGAAGCTAAATGTCTTCACAAGAAAAAAAACAAGAAAGTCCAATTGCCTCCTGAAAAAGCACCTTTGGGACATAAAATGTAATAGGTATTACTGCAGGTGGTACTACAAGATATTTTAGGATTCATTCTGTTTTTAGTAGTATGACAGCTTTTTAAAGGAACAGCAACTAGTTACATTTGTAAAGAAATTGACAGTCTTGGATGAAATGGAAAATGGGAAAATGGCAGGCTTCAATACGTTTACAGGAGCAACATTGCATGAAACCCACTTAGGGTAATTTGAAACTTGTAAGCATTTGGGGATTAAAGTGTTCATGGAATTGCAGTACAAGGGCTGTCAAGATACTTTGGTACATTTCAGGTAACTTTAGTGGCAACGGATGGAGTAATATGGATGATTTGAATAATCAGCTAAAATATTTTGTGCAAGTACTAATAAATATTAAAATTAAATGTTTTTACTTGGCTCAATAGGGAATTGAGTTATGAACCAGTTTGATATCAGCACTTGTTTAATCATTTGCCTGGGACTGAAAAACACCATGTCTTATCAATATATGCAGTGCTTATATATATTAGCTATGTATCTTTATCAGAGAAAATCCATGGGTTCAATAGGAGTTGAAAATGACTTGATGGTACATAATTGTATATATTTACCCCCAAATTTAAAATACTACTTTTTTCAGAGGCATAACAGATATGATGACTCTTAACCCAGCTGATCCTTCAGTACAATTAATTTTGCACTATTGGAGCAGTAAGCCCCACTGAACTATGTGAGGTTTAATTTCCATTAAAACCACTAAGAATTGATAAGAAGGAAGATGGTAATTATTCTCAAACAACATCACTGACTATGGTAGAAATCAAAGCACCTTTGAATGTTCCATCAGTTTCGGTGGAAGTAGGTCAGGACTGGGAAATCTATCAGCTCCATAACTCTTCCTTTACAGCATAATCCTATGCAAGTTAATTTTGACTGAAACTGATGGAAATCTTGGAAGTAGTGATTTAGATGTTTTCACTTCACCAGCTTCTGTTTTTCTATCACTGGGGAAACGAAAAGGAAAGTTGAATAAAGGGCAAACAGGAAGGGAGGATACAGAGGCACGTAATAGGAGTGTGTGTGACTTTGATTACTGGTGTCTGTCTGAACAAGTCTCTGCAGTTTTCTTGGCAACATTTTCAGAAGTGGTTGACCATTGCTTTCTTCTTTCTATACCTGGGAGATAGTGACTGGTCTCAAGATCACCTGGCTGGCCTCATGCCTAAGGTGGAACTAGAATTCATGGTCTCCCAGTTTCTAGCCAGGTGCCACTACCCTAAACTAGCTTTTAATAGGAGTGGGTGTTTTTAACTAGACACCCACATTTCCAATATAAAAAAGGAAATAGAAATATTCAATATGCTAGCTTGTAAACAACAGTGCTTGGGTAACATTTGGAGTTTCTCAGTTCTGCCTGTGGCTTTTAAAGTAGAAGATCTGGAAAACAATTCAGTGTTAGCTTTGAGGTACTATGTTAGAAGGTTTTAATCATAAGTAGTGTCTAGGTTTTATGCTATATTTCATAAAATTATATCCTGTCTTTCTTCAAGGAGCTGAGAAAGAGTTTCTTGCTGCTGGTAGTATACTATTTTGTCATGTATTTACCTATGTCATTAAGCCAAGTGATTATTTTGTTTTGAAAAACATAATTCTAACTAAGGTGATATATATCATTGCACTCTATGGTTGTAGGTAAGTATGGACATAAATGAATATTCCTATGCTTAAAGAAAATCAAATAACTATCCAGATAAAAAATGAAATGTCTAAAGAGAGGATCCTAGCCTGATTCCCTTTTCCTCCTTGGAATTGTGTCTGTATAGAGAAGCATTTATAACAAATTCCATCTGCCATGTTTGAGCTAAAACACTTCAGACCAATTTATAAACAGTGGGAATCAAATTTAGCAACCCATGGAGGTCTGGATTTGGAGTTACACTGAAAATTAAAGTGGAAAAAAACACTACAGGCTGATCCAACTTTGATGTAATGTCCTTAAAACAAGTCAAAATGTGGCTCAGTAGTGTGTGTGGCCTCCACATGCCTGTATGACCTCCCTACAATGCCTGGGCATGCTCCTGATGAGGTGGCGGATGGTCTCCTGAGGGATCTCCTCCCACACCTGGACTAAAGCAGCCCCCAACTCCTGGACAGTCTGTGGTGCAATGTGGCGTTGGTGGATGGAGCGAGACATGATGTCCCAGATGTGCTCAATTGGATTCAGGTCTGGGGAATGGGCGGGCCAGTCCATAGCATCAATGCCTTCGTCTTGCAGGAACTGCTGACACACTCCAGCCACATGAGGTCTAGCATTGTCTTGCATTAGGAGGAACCCAGGGCCAACCGCACCAGCATATGGTCTCACAAGGGGTCTGAGGATCTCATCTCGGTACCTAATGGCAGTCAGGCTATCTCTGGCGAGCACATGGAGGGCTGTGCGGCCCCCTAAAGAAATGCCACCCCACACCATTACTGACCCACTGCCAAACCGGTCATGCTGGAGGATGTTGCAGCAGCAGAACGTTCTCCACAGCATCTCTAGACCCTGTCATGTCTGTCACATGTGCTCGGTGTGAACCTGCTTTCATCTGTGAAGAGCACAGGGCGCCAGTGGCGAATTTGCCAATCTTGGTGTTCTCTGGCAAATGCCAAACGTCCTGCACGGTGTTGGGCTGTAAGCACAACCCCCACCTGTGGACATCATACCACCCTCATGGAGTCTGTTTCTGACTGTTTGAGCAGCCACATGCACATTTGTGGCCCGCTGGAGGTCATTTTGCAGGGCTCTGGCAGTGCTCCTCCTGTCCCTCCTTGCACAAAGGCGGAGGTAGTGGTCCTGATGCTGGGTTGTTGCCCTCCTACGGCCTCCTCCACGTCTCCTGATGTACTGGCCTGTCTCCTGGTAGCGCCTCCATGCTCTGGACACTACGCTGACAGACACAGCAAACCTTTTTGCCACAGCTCACATTGATGTGCCATCCTGGATGAGCTGCACTACCTGAGCCACTTGTGTGGGTTGTAGACTCCGTCTCATGCTACCACTAGAGTGAAAGCACCACCAGCATTCAAAAGTGACCAAACCATCAGCCAGAAAGCATAGGAACTGAGAAGTGGTCTGCGGTCACCACCTGCAGAACCACTCCTTTATTGGGGATGTCTTGCTAACTGCCTATGCTTTCCACCTGTTGTCTATTCCATTTGCATGTGAAATTGATTGTCAATCAGTGTTGCTACCTAAGTGGACAGTTTGATTTCACAGAAGTGTGATTGACTTGGAGTTACATTGTGTTGTTTAATTGTTTAATTGTTCCCTTTATTTTTTTGAGCAGTGTATAATGGCATCTCTTGATATTTAAATAGCAAAATACCAAATCCTAAATTAGTTCAATCTCCATGATTGTATAATTTGGGGATAAAGCCTATTTTCTCTACCACTGATACAATTATCCAATCATTTAATATAGTTGAAATGTGTACTATACATATATTTCTTTGTATCTTTTGTTGAGAGATATTAAATTAAATAACCTGTATTTACAAAGTGCTGCATAAAATACAGCTTTTGCTTACTGATCTTACTTAGCAGTATCTTGAGTATACATAGCCATGGAAAGATATCACTAGTGAGCAATGTTAAAGAACACTTTGTCAGCAGCAATATTGAAGCCTTATAGGCCAAAGTTCACCAAAAAGCTTGTTGACTTTTTGATTGCATAAGCTTTACAAATTAGATTGCTGAATGGTTGTTTAAAGAACATTTGCTCAATAGTGTGCATCATTATGTGCCTGTCTTCATTATTTAGGAAGGCATTTGTACTTCAGTGTAAATCACTACAGTCTTTAAAAATTAAGGGACATCATGTTATTTGGGTGAAAATTGATATTTGTTAAATA